AGAATTTGCACAAGAAAAAGAGCTTCGAAGAAGTGCCACCAACAATTCATACTAGAGAGTATAACGAGAAGAAGATAAAGTCATAGACTGATGAAGTTATTAGTTAGACTAACAACAATCATATTGGGCCCCATGTTAAATGTGGGAAGCAACACTTGGGTGAATTTCTATTTGGTTTGAAGGTGTTTTACTTATGCAGATAATTTGGACATCAGATGACAAATTGCTCTAATTCTACTTTTAGATCTATATCAAATGCTAACTCAGGAAGAGATTCAACTTAGAAATATTTTCAGGAGAAATCTACTTTTAGAAGTGGTTAGCAGAAGATGATGTAAGCTGGTATTGTGACTCATAAGGAGCAACCATGGTAGAGCATTCAACAAGAGTCTATTCTTTAACTCATCAAAACTTTAAAAAACTGTTGCTACTGATGTTGATACTAGTAGAGTTTGAGGAGTGATTTGCCTTTAGGGTGTCATGTTAGTTGAACATTTTGTACTTTCATTTTAGAAGTTGAGTGTTGTTTTAGTTATGTTATTTTGATTCAGACATTTGAAAATTTTTTATGTTGAATAACATTATCATAGATGTTCGATTTATCATATATTCTTTAGTTATCACTTGTCAAGAATTGAACTTTCTTGAAGATTTGTGAATAGCTCATATTTGATCTACATAATGCTTAGATTGTGTAAATTTCATGAATTTTGAGATTGAAATTTTATAAAGGGGATTGTAATAATCGAAAAATAAAATTCAATGGGTAGGGTATATTCGATCAATCCTTTTGTTAGTTTCTTTTAAATGCATCTCATTTAAATGAGATGAAATAGAGAACGAGAAGGAAAAAGTAGAAGGTAGTGTCCATTTTAGATCTTTTTGTCGACACCACATTTGAATGAGGGAAGGGTATTGGCATTACTTACCATCGATTCGACACTCGTGTTGTATAAGGCAAAGGAGATGGCGTCATTGTTGCAGTGGAGGTGCCCTATTTCTCACACATAAGGAAGGATGATGTCTTCGACAAGAGGAGTCGTGCCCTAGCCGATGGAAGAAGGGAGAATGGAGAAGAAGAAGAGGAAGAGAAGGAAGCGTGTCGTGTCAAACCCTAGCTTAAGGGAGGAATGAGGGGAAGGGGGGAAGCCAAGCCCCTGTCGATGGAGGGGGAGAAGGCTTTGGTGCGAAGAGCCCCAGTCGATGGAGGGGGAGAAGGCTTTGGTGTGAAGAGGAAGGAGGGAAGATGTGTGTGCGTACTGTGCTGGGTTAAACCAAGCTCGGAGGAAGAAGAAAGGGAGTTAGCTTGTGCGTGTGTAGGACAAAGCTCTTTTTCGAGCCCGAACTTGTGGTCGAAGAGTTGTAGGTGAGTTATGTATTTTATTATAATTTAATTAATGAATTATATATATTTATATATATATTGGAGGAGGAAAATGCTTTGGTGAGGAGGAAGCAGGGAAGATGTGTGTGCGCATTGTGGTGGGTTGAACCAAGCTCGGAGGAAGAAGAAAGGGAGTCAGCTTGTGCGTGTAGGACAAAGCTCTTTTTCGAGCTGTAACTTGTGGCCGGAAAGTTGTAGGTTATATATATATATATATAAAATATTTGTTAAGTTTTAATAGTATTTTTAATTGAAATCATGAAGTATTTGAAGAAATGAATTTTCAGTTTAAGATCAAAGACTGAATTACATTGAAGGAAAATGTACAAGTTAATTAAAGTTAAAGTTTGATTTATTTAATTTAGAATTAATATGTTATAAAATATGAATTTATAACAACAATTAAGATTGAAGAATACTTTAACCTATAAGATCTGAAGATAGGGAGTTTGTGAGACGAGCAAGCAATGTTGGGGTGAGTAATTATATTTTATACATTTCAATAATTTTCATTTTTTCTAAATATATGCTTGATTTTTTTTATGCTATGTTCTAATGAAATTTAGATTATAATAGATTCTTCATTGTTAAATAGGAAAAATATGCATGTTAAATAGTTAAATTTTTGTTTTTCTAAGAATAATTTTTATGGCTCCATAATATGTAAATTCTAGTATAGGTGCATATATGAGTTTTTTGCATGACCTACAAATTTAGTAAGATTGCATTTATTAATCGATTGATAGAGGTAAAGTGTTTCATAAGAAATGAATGTGTGATATGAAGAATGAAGTATTGTATATATGAATGCTTGTATGTGCATGCTAAGGGGAGTCACCCCTTTATGATACACGCAGAGGACGTCAGTGTACTCACGCGCATAAACTTTATTCTACCACTTAAGACAATTATGATGTTTGGATCGCTCGCCACTGTGCCGGTAGGAAAATATCGAACACCTTTTCACCTCAGACAATCATGTAAATTAGATCATGAACCACTGTGACGAAAAAATAATATTTGCCAAGGGTGCTTTAGGTTATGTTTTGACAGTGTTCATAAGACAGATGGAAATGTTAATAACGTTAAATAAAAGACTAAACCTTGAAGAGTGTAGTTAAATATAATGCATATCGATGTTTAAATTATTTCTATTGAATAAATATCATGGACACATACATTAGGTCATTATTGGATCTTCTATAGTGAAATATAAAAGACAAGCATGAGTATTTTTTTCATTAGGTTATTTTAGTTCAGAAGTATGATTGTTCATGAGTTATCTTAGATAACTCATTATCCTGTTTAAAATTTTTTCCATATTTAAACTTTTGATTAGGATGAATACAACACATGAGATAATGCTTATAGAGGGCGAAGTCAGCAACCTGAAAGGTAGTTTTTTATTTGGTGAATTTAATTGTTTTTTTGAGTGGCTTTTTTCACTTAATTTGTGGATATTCAACTGTTAGTGATAGAAATAAAATAATAACAAATTGAATTTCACCATACGATCATTTGTTCCTGCCTTGGTTAATTCCAAGCCCCGGGGTTAGATCATGATAAGATAGAGGAGTCGAGATTAGAGAGTGTGTGATAGAGAAAGACAAGCAATGAAAGGAATGACAAGAAGTGAGGGAGTAAAAAGGGAGGGTAAGATAGAGGAGCCACGTACGCCAAAGTTGCCTATACTTTAGGCGACTTTGGAGTGGTACACAAGTATTTTTGCATAAATGACTGTGTGGCATCCTTAGTTGCCCAATCACAAGGCAATATGTTTTTTTCCAATTGACCCTTTTATCAAAATCGAGGGATGTGTGCCATTTTAAAATCTCTTTTAAAATGGTTGTAAAAAAATCGTTTCTTGGTGATATATTTCCCTTTTGATAACATTCCACTATGAAAGTGATGTGTCATGTGAATGGACCAATTCAAAAATGTTATGCTATAATTTGAACTATCGCTGTAATTAATAATTATAGTCGACTTAAAATATAAGGTTTTTGGACACTAGAAAAATCAAATTCACATGTTTACTATTTTCTTATAAATACATAGCAAAAATAAAGATATCACACAATAATATAAATGATGAAATGTGTAACTGTACATGTGTATGATATATGCAAAACCAGAATCACTTAAAGAAGTAACAAACAATAGCAATCACAACACCCAACTGGCTAGGTCTAAGTATCCTTATCTTGGACTCCCCTATCGGCTCCTAAAGCTTCCAGATTAATTTGATTATGTAGACCAAAAAACGAGAGGAAATTTGAATCAATTTGGATTTGGAATGCTGTAGCAATTTTCATTAGCCTTCAACGACTTGCAATTGACTGATATTAATAAGAGTGATAGTTATTCAACATATCCTAAATTTCCTTTTGTTTCAAGAAGCTAAAATATGAAATTGAGTCATTATAACAACTAGACGTTGCATGCCTAAAATAAATGAACCTAGGAACGCACTTAGGCCTATAGGATTCAATGGGGGTTGTTTCTTTCATGGATTTGCCTAGTGAGGGACAACTCATTGCATATTATTTAATATCCAATTCTCTTATATGTAATGACTTACGAAATATGTTATGAACTATATAATGACTGTAAAAACTATATTTAGATTTAATATTTAGTGTTGCTCAAGTTCCATGGATTTATGATTGTAGTTGTATTGATCCAAATCCCATACACGAAAGATTGGCACATGCACATTTATGCCGTGTCTAAACATTTCAAGAGATCGTTTCACTTGGATTTTGTTATCTTCAAGTGCATCAAATCATCATCTCTCCTTCAATTCTACTGAATTGAAAAACTCGACAAATTTAATTAAACTTCAATTTGACTGTGCCTCCTTTCAGCAAATTGAATTGACTAAACATTTTCACTTCTCAAAGCAAGTTTTTCCACTCACCACAAGTTTTTTGTTATGATAATTGAGTTTGTTCACATGTTATGCTCGTGGGGATAGCAATTTAAAAAACCAATTTTGTTGTATGACACCGTTATTATAAAATGCTAGCCGGGCTATATTTAAAAGATGGATGCTTCTAGTAAATACAAATATTGAACTTGAAATTCATTCCTTACTGTCACTTTGGTTCCCCAGTTATAAACTTTTTATTAAATTTTCTAAGTCCATTTGTTGAATTTAGTGGCAGTGTCAGTTTTGTTAACTCGCATGATATTTAATGTGATATATATGGAGTCCCTTAAAGATTAGTTTATAATCATTAAATATAATTTATATTTATGTTTGAGGTGGTTTTATTGGATGATATCCTAATTTTTCTGCTCCTAATTTTATTATGCGAGCAAAAACAACAATTTTCGTGGTACACCAATCAAATCTGCTCGGTTGATGTTAAATAGATTTCAAAAGGAATTAGGAGGTATCAGTTCTGTTTCATTTACAGTAATAAAACTTCTGAAAAATGTCAAGAAAATCAATTGTCTTTTGATAAAAAGGTTGATCTGGTATGCAGAGCTCAACAGTGAGCTGCATGAGATTTATCTGCTCTTATCTATTGAAAATCTAATTCTCTAGCATGTTCTGTTATACAAATAAATTAGTGTACTGTCTCATCTTTATTTTTGTTTTGACTCATAGGAAGTTGAGAAGTCATTTTCCTTTTGGGGTACCAGAGAAGGTGACCTTGTTCATCCAGCTGAGTGCATGCATCAGTTGCTTGATCAAGTTCGGCGTCATAAAGTTAATATTGATGGCAATGTTTGTTCTGTCATGGTGACAACTTTGGTTCTTGAGGTAACTACCCTTGCCAAGCTTGGTAAAAAAATATTCTTGATGTTTTCACCCATCTTACCACTTTTTTACAAGAACAAGTTATATTTTTTTTTTTCAATTAAAATATGATAATAGCAGCATGTGAATTTGCACCCAAGAAAACAATACCTATACAAGTTGTCTACAGTTTGTATAAAATGGCAATATCTTTTATTTTATTATAAAACAATTTGGGGGTAGATCTATAAAAAATTATTGGACGCAGAAGTTGAGTGACATTTATATCTTTAAGTTTAAACATGTTAAATCATGTATGCTAGTTGTGCCAATTCATGTATACATGCAAATAAAAGTAAAGGTAAAGGAGAGTGATGGTATTGCTCTAGGTTTCTTACATAGTTGCAAAAACATTTGTTGAACAATGAAATAACAAACATGTGTTAAGAGGTGCATCAAATTTCTTAGTATCTTAATTTTTCTTGATAGAAGAATGATCAAGGTTGATGTATTGCATTTAAGGTATACTTCCAACTAAATGACACAGATATCAAGAAAAAATGAAACTATTTTGAGAAATTATGAATTAAAAATTTAAGAATGATATAACCTTTGGAAGAGCAAATGAAATCTTGTATTTATTGGAGATTTATTGAAATTTATGAAGTTAGATTTTAATATACATAATGGTAAATCATTTTATTCAACAGAATTACATTTAAAGGTTTATTGAGATATTGGAATTGGGTTGTAAGTAAGCCGAGTTAGCTCGAGCTTGACTTGTTAATGAGCTTTTAGTTGAGGTTCAAGCTCAAAATATATAAAATTAGCTCAGTTTAAGGGCAATACCTAGCTTGTTGGCTCATGAGTTGGCTTGATTATGGTACATACTTAGATTTCATGATTTTTATGTTATTCTTGAGTCCCACTACAGGTATCACGAACTCCTCGCCCTTGAACGATTTTGGTCTTGTAGTTCTATCTTCAATGATCTCACACCGCATTATCCTTTGTTTGTCTCATTTATCCATTCTCTAACGAGGTCTCGTTGTGACTTGCCTTGCTAGTCTCATCAATACTTTCTCCAGCGTCTTTTAAAAAAAAGAAAAAAACTTCTCTAGCTAGATCTTGATGCCACTTTCTTTGCAAGTTTTGTCGATCTTTCTCCAATGAGCTCTCCTCACAACTTTCTTTCCTGTTGAGCTTTTGAATATAGGAATAAATGGATGAGCTAAGCTTGAGCTCATTCTATGGTCTCGACTTGAGCTTGAGTTTGAGCCATATTTTTTATCAATGTGCTAAGCTTAAGTTTACTGCAACTTGAGCCCTACTATACTTGCTCACATCTTTGTTTTGAAATAGTTTGCTTTAGAACTCTTTTTGTTGATATCATAAGACTAAGAAGATGCTAAATGCTTGAAGAAAGTAATTTTGTGATTATTTTAGAAACAAAAGTGATGTAATAATCAAGTGCATCTTGAAAATCAAGTTTAAAGTCTAGTTATAAGATTCAAGGCTAAATTTCAAGGAAGAGAAAAGAATAGGTCTAATTATTAGAACCCATTATATTGTAGAATATTTTGAATTTAATTCATATTTTATTATTTTACAGATCTATTTCTAACATCGGGACATGTTTGGTCGATTTTGACATAAAGAAAGCATGAAAAATGAGTGGTTAAAACTCTTTCATTAATGCAACCAAACTCTTTATCATTTCACCATAAACACCACAACACGTCATTGATATTAAGATATAAATTTATATAATTTTTTACCCATTTATCTCACAAAAGACCACACACCATTTCATATTATGTATTATAGCGAATTTAGAAAGTAACAAATTTAATCTGAGTTTTTCGGGAAGGGAATTTTTTTTTGTGAATTTGTCCATAAAAGCTTGTGTGTTATTCCAACAAACTTAAGAATCACTTTTCTTTCCTACAAGTTGGTTATATCATCACTAAGAAAGAACTCAATGACCCACTTGCTGATGATCAATTTTCAGTTTACGACAAAAAAAAAATGACTTATTGATGTTACATGGTTGACCTAGATCGTTCCGGAGACTCTAGCCTTGCTATTGGTAAAATATTTCTTGGATTTTAAGTTAATCGAGCATATTTCAATTGAACCCCCCAAGGAAGTTGATATAAGACATGTATAGATCAAAAAAATTAATCTAAAAATCCAAGAACACATCGAACTACAAATGCCCAAGAAAGAACTCATAATTTAACATATTTCAAATATAATTGATGTTATTTTTAATATTTATTTTTTATCAAAGGATTTGTAAGGTAGGCTTTGACACAAATGGATCATTAAAAATGGGCGAAATTTATTTATTAATGACCATCAACCCTTCTTTTTTCTTACTTTTTTCCCACTCATTTCTCTCTCTAAAATTCTTAGCTTAAGAGTCTTGTAATATCTATAATTATGAGATGAAAGTTTTTGTAACTTTCGTTATTAAATCAAATATTTTACGTGAAGAATTGCCCTTCCTTTTTGCTTGGTAATTGATGAGCATATTATCACTTATAAGAATGCATGTAATAAAACACAAATTGATTATTTTCTTATGAGAAAAAGAGATCATTGAGATTATAAAATCATTCCAAGTGAAAATTTAAGTTTTCAACATTGATTATTGAGTTTGGATTTCAAGATGAAGGTTGTAAGATGAAAAATACAATGAAATATTGTCAGAATAGATGAGCGCACTTAAAAGACAAATAAAATTTTTTTTATGAGTAAACTATAAAATCTTAAAATTTGGGATGTTCATGAAGTCAATGCAATGTGGGATAGAGTAACAAACACTATTAATGAAGTTGCAAAAGATATACTTGAAGAATTAAATGAAAAAAAATATTATAAATAAAAATAGATGGTGAATAGTAATGTGCAAGAAAAGTTAAAATATAAAAAAATATTGTTATAAAAATTAGTTTAAATGTAAAAATTTTGATAATTGGTAAATTTATAAGATGACTTGTATGGATCTAAGAGAATAGTTTGTGATGCTAAAAATTATACTTTTAGCAATCTTTATAAAAGATTAGATACCAAGATATATGTATAAACTAGTTAAACAAAGAGATAAGAAAATTAAAGATTTTAAGTGAAGTGTATTAAGGATGAATTAATGGGATTAGTTGATATTATGATTCATAGGAAAATTAGTATCTTATGTATTCAAGAAAATAAGTGGGTTGGAGAAAATGCTAAGGAGATTGATAATTTAGATTTTAAACTTTGATATTCTGGTAAGAGTCGCACTAGAAATGATGTAGGTGTAATTATAGATAAGAGTTTGAAAGATAATGTTGTAAAAATTAATAGAGTTGGTGATAGAATGATAGCCCTTAAGATTATCATTGATACTAAGATTTTTAATATTATAAGTGTTTATGCTCCTCATGTAGGTTTAGATACAGAGTCTAAAGGTAAATTTTGGAATGACTTAGAAGATTTAATACAAATGATACCTCTTGAAGAAAGAATTTTTATTGGAGAAGATTTAAATGGACATGTCGGTAGAGTGGTAGAAGATATCAGAAATATTCATGGTAGCTACGATTTTGAAGTAACTAATGATGAAGGTAAAACTATTTTAGATTTTGCTTTAGCATTTGGATGAAAATCATTAAGTGTTTTTCATAGATAATGGTATTCAGCACAGGTGAGTTAAATATTTGATAAAATTTTTTATGAAGATTTTGAAAATATGATTAATTTTAGTGATCTTAATAAAATTAATAATAATAAAATTTTATATTTTTATCTTCACATTAGTAAAACAGAAGTCGAGGAAGCTTTAAAAAAATTGAAGAATGAAAAATCAATAGAACCTAATATAGAAGTGTGAAAATATTTAGGGGATATTTGAATTTGTTGGCTTACCAATTTTTTTAATATTATTTTAAAAATTAAAAAGATGTTTGTAGAGTGGAGGAAGAGTATTTGGTCCCGATTTTTTAAGAATAAAGATGATGCATAAGAGTGTACACATTATAGGAAATTAAGTTAATGTTTCATATATTAAAATTGTGGGAGAGAGTAATTGAAAGGTTAAAATGTGATACGAAGGTTTCCCAAAATTAGTTTGGATTTATGATGGGCAAGTCTACCATGGAAGTTATACATTTATTAAGAAGTTTGATGGAGAAGTACAAAATGTGCTATGAGGATCTACATATGATTTTTGTTTAGAAAAAGCTTCTGGTAAGATAACAAGAGAAATATTTTGGAGAATTCTAGAAAAGAAAGATGTTGATCTAAGCTATATTCAAGTCATTAAAAATGTGTACTAGAGCTGTTACTTGTGTTCGAATAAAAGGAGGATTGACCAAACATTTTTCTATTTTAGTTGAATTACATCAAGGATCGGCTTAAAGCCCATATCTTTTTGTTTTAGTTATGTATGTTCTTACTAGTTATACACAGAATGTGTACCTTGGTATATGTTTTTTGTTGATAATATCTTTCCGACCCCACTTAGTGGGATAAATGATTGTTGTTGTTGTTGTTGTTGTTGCTATTTATCCTTCTGGTGAATAAGATTAGAGAAAGAGTCCATGAAAAATTTGAATTATGGAGATCAACTTTAGAGTAAAGGCTTTCATTTGAGTAGATCTAAAATTGAATGCATGGAGTGTAATTTTAGCAGTAGTAGATCTACTGGTGCGGTTGTAACAATGGGTGATCAAGTCATTAAAAGAATGAACTTTTTAGGTATATCGGGTCTATTGTTCAAAGTGATGGTGATATAGTTGGGGATGTTATTGGTAGAATTTTGGTTAGATGGTTGAAATGGAGGAATGCATTAGGCCTATTCTGTGATAGAAAAATAAAGCTTAGACTTAGGAAAATTTTATAAAATGGTGGTGAGACCTGCAATGCTTTGTGGTGCAAAATGCTGATATATAAAAGAGAAGCATAATACTATGTTAATTGTTGCTGAGATAAGAATGCTTGAGTGGATGGGCTGCTTTGCACTTTGAGACAAAATGCAA